CACACAACCCTTTACTACAAACACACAACCCTTTTACTACAAACACACAACCCTTTACTACAAACACACAACCCTTTACTACAAACACACAACCCTTTACTACAAACACACAACCCTTTACTACAAACGCACAACCCTTACTACAAACACACAACCCTTTACTACAAACACACAACCCTTTACTACAAACACACAACCCTTTACTACAAAATATTCAAGAGTACAAACGGAGTGATAAGCCAAACGAAACAGCCCATACATCGTTGGCATGTGACATCTTCGATTGGGCCACAGCATCCAAATCCAGAGTCAGCGCAGGCACCACTTCTTTCGGTCGACCTCTTCTCCCGCCCCTCTTCCCTTCAGTTGCTTTGGTGGGATTCTCTATAGCTTTGGGATATGAATAGTTGTGGTCATATGTGTGACTGGGCTGACGCAAAGCTAGTATTCGTGGTGGGATATTAGTTGACAGCTACACAAAACTCTCGGCATGAACAACAGTGCACAAGGGTGTGAACGGGGTTACAAGATACTATAAATAGAACTCCGAGCACCATCATGCTCTCCTGGTTTATCCAAAATACTGCCGCAAAACTCAGAAGTCTGAGGGTACCAGACCGTCATGGCGGCTCATAGAGGTTCATAGCCGCCACGTCGGGATACTGGCTAGTATATGCATGGCCCAATCACGACGTTTGATGGTCGCAATTTGGCATACGGCTCCTACTTCAACCGTAGAGAAGGCTCACTTACAATACAACTACCCCATAACACGTTTAATACGAGACGGACTAACGTTTGCATTATCCACTCACAACGTTTGATGGCCACAACTTGGCATACGCCTCATTCCTCAATCCGTAAAGAACGTTCACTTACTAACCAACTATCCCATGCAATATAGCAGGCTGTCACGCCACCCTTAACCAACCGTGCCATAAACAATACCCAAACTAACCCAGCAGGTGAAACACATATCACATCCACATAAAAATAGATACTGACACGGTGTGGATTCGTACCTGTAGATAGTTTGGTGCCCATCAGGGTAGTCTGCACTGGAGTTCCTTTGCTTCGTTTAACTCGTTTTGTACACGGTTCGGCCGACTCTACCCTTGCAGAGGCTTCCTTCTGTTTCGCTCGTTTCTTTTCGGCGCGTTTCGCCTTGGCAGCCTCTTTCTCCTGAAAGAATTAGTGCGAACGCAATCAATCATCAACTAGCACCCGAGAAATTAGTTCAAACGCAAATACGAATTAAGAACCACATGAATATACTGGCAAGCACGAGAATTAAGATACAATCTACAACTGAAGTTTAACAACTATTCAACGAATGAAAGAATCTCACAGCCAGCATAGCGGATATACTGTAAAAATGCCAAATAGATATACAAATATTTCGAAAAACAGCACAGCAACATATCACAGGCAAAGACTGTGACAGACTTAAACCCTATACCATATGCATCAACCACCATCGTCAGCTATGCGATTAACAGGTGTGGACACGAAGCTATACCTAGGCATTCAAAATAAAACACTTAACAACATGAGGAAGTACCCTGATGGGGAACGGATGAGCCAACATGAAGAACAGTGTATAACTAAACATACTGATATGTCAACGTATACGCAAACAATAACTCTTTTAACCCTGAATCAACTAGTTCCCTCTAATAAATACAAGCCCCGCCACGTGTGTGCGTGTATAAATGAAGCACACGCCTTGGACAAAGTGGTCAAAATCGAACCACAGAGCATCATACTCTACATACAACTACAGAGAACTCATAAGTACACGATCAGCACAGGCCAACTATTCTGCAGTAAAGTGTGTATACCGCCTGTTCCTTCTGACGCTCCTCCATGCGCTTCTTCAAGAACTTGGTGTAGAACAAGGTCTTATCCACCAACGAGTTGAGGTTTATGAGTGACGCATTCTTGCTCGTCTCTGTCATGGCTGCCACCTGTACCAGACCGGGCCAAGATGAAATGTAAATATTGTGACTGATATATGATGTGGCTAACGAAGCAGCAGTAATACTGCACAGCGACGACTACCGAAGCTTTGATCGGATCGGGGTTTGATTATGCGGTGTGATACGCGGTGGATTGTAGCCTTGGGTGGTAGCAGTACCAGTAACACGCCCCGAGCCATCCGTGATGTATCGGAAACTCGAGTAGAATATCCGGGTAAGTATAGAAAACCCCAAAAAAACAAACGATTTCCTGCAGCAGATATCGAGAGCTATAATCACAATATAGTCGTGATAAGGGATCCGATAGATGCCAGCTCATGAACGATGGAAGTGCAACATCTACTAGCGATAGTTCTGATCTACTGTCAAATAGACATTGAGGAGACCGCATTATGATTGGCCACATATTTGCTGACCAGGCCCTAGAACCCTAGCCCAAGGCACATACCCGCTCACGATTGCTAGAAAATGGGGTCACATTATTTTTACAATCAGGGTTAAATTGGCTGCTTGTAGTAGATGTGATGTACTAGTGAGTTTACTGTTTGTCTTGGCAAACCCCAAATTCGTACATACACTGAATGCCTACTCCCAAACTAACATCTATCTCATTTAGAAGTTACATCTACATTCGACATCAGACGGGAGCATTCAATGGCACAGCGAGGTATATTTATGTCTCAAAAAGTCAGATGACATACCTTCACACACACCTTACTACCCGTTGATCCCAAACGATACCGAAGCAATCAATGTACACTGTATCCTGATATACCAAATTCTTGCAACATGGGATACGTATATGCGTACATACAGCTATCATCAAGCTCGTAAACAGGCCGGCATGGTATGAAGCATGTGGCTGATACAATGCGCGACGAGTAGGTCACTGTCAAGCACACACCATTGAAGAGGTTAAAAACAGTCCTGACACCTTGCTACGAAAACTGGATAAAGATCAAGCATTGCACAAATCGCACTAGGCCCGTACAAAGATTACCGGCCGGATGTAACCCTAGTTGACCAAGAGTACATTATTATAACGAATACATTGTATATAGATTTAAACTCTGTAGACGGTCAATGATAGCATGCCTTTATACTTTACACGCGATGATAGGCATAGGCAACCCGGGGTATATAAACCGTCGACTATAGCATAAGTAGATATGCAAAACAATTGCTCGGACAAAATCAGCTCAATGTGAAGACAGCACTATATATACGTAAAAAAAAACTCACGGGATGTGAGTTCCATTAGCTTTCCTGCGCACTTGAGAATGATAGAGTATATAACTGACCCGGGATTACACGCGGCTAAGACAAAGTACCGCCACACCATATATCGCAGGCTGGAGTCATGTCCGCACGATGGATACTGGCGCAAACAAAAGAGTATACACAATACAAAGACAATGCTATACTACAAGCAATACAGTCACACAACGGGTGTGAAACCTCCACACATAAGCCCCCTACTAGCTCGCACTTTTTGCGATTGAGCAATCCCACCTGTTCAAATATCACATGCGACTGTCAGATTATTACATCAACTGATACAGCTTTACAACGGCCTCATAACGTCCCCCACAGAACCTCTACATACACGCACCTACTTCTTGCGGTTGACTCCATTCGATAACAACATTGACTGCTACATTAATTCATGCAGCAGAACAACTATATAAATAATATCATCCCATGCTGACAAGCAGAAAACCTACCGTTCCTATATTTTAGCCAACAACCAACCATCATAAAACACATAACGTCGCCACATACCTCATTTACACGCTCTTGCTTCTTGTGATTGAATAGCTCCACCTGCTCCTTCTCGGCGGCAACCTCAGCTTGCACCCACTCCTTACTCACCCCCGTTAATTCACACTTTAGATGCTCGTTTTCTGAATCATCCATATCGAGTTCATTATTCACCATTGGCTTACCCTCCATATTTTCTTTCTCCACGTCTTCGTTCGTATTAGTATTCATATTTACACCTCCTTTGATGAACGTGTTTTTGGTTACAGTGTCCGCGTCGGGTTTGATGTTTGATTTTGTGTTTGCCGAAGAGAGAGGTTTGAGAGCTTTCACCGATGAAGGCGTCTCGGTCTCAGACACCGGCGATGTAGAGGTCTTCTGATCAGTCACCATATTATCAATAGGTATGTATGGATTAAATATCAATAATATCGTATGGTTTTTTACTAATAATTACAATATAGTTAGAATCCCTCGTATGCTTGTATATATATATATAGATTCTATGGATGAGCTTACATAACATTTACCTTAAGAAAGCATAGTATGCATTAGATTTATAGTCAATAACAAATAGGTCCTCAATTTGCCAATTTGACAAAAATAATATAAAATGAACCATTCTTTTGATGAATATATTGACTGATCATTCGATCAAATGACAGTCGTCGTGTGACCTCTTGCAATCATGCGCCAATCTGAACGCTCCGTATACTTTTGGCGGGCACACCAAAAATTAGGAGTTATTTTTAGAAATTTCTTTCCACAAAACATTTTTATAGAAATAAAAAAAGGAGCTTCGTGCCATTTTCCAAAAATGTTCTTCCCCTTTATTGGAGGGATCGTGCTTTGTTATTTTTACATTTTTTTTTACATTTTCAGGAATTATATTCACTTTTGTTTCTTGTTGAAAACGATAGTACGATTGAGATATCAGATGGGTCCTTTTGAAATACGTTAAAACGTAGAAAATCTAATGTGTATGTGTTTATTTACGTTAAACGCTTACTGTACGAGGCAAAACCGCACTGACGAGATGTGGAGATGTACTTGAAATCAAAACAAATTGAACGTGGGACCAGATACGTACACGTAACATTCGTATAATAATAAACAAAGACACACTTACAACCATGTCGGTATGTTTGAGATTGGTTAGGGTAGTATTATGTGTATATGCAGTTTCCTTTCCCCCTCGATGTTACGCAGTCCCCAATATATGGTGTGGGAGAGTCTGAGAGCTTACCAGTCAAGAGTTGACGAAGTGTGCGCCATAGTGTATATATATATTCTGGATGCGGAAGGGTTTTCTCTGTTGTCTCTTTTTTATACAAATTCCGTATCGATGCACTGGAAATTTAGATGCATGACTACAAGAAGCCGCACGATGACGGGAATGTCTAAAGCTGCGCATGTATGCTCACGTGCACACACACCGTTCTCCACTGTTCGAGGGGCGCACAGTGTGTATAGCGCAGCTCTTTCCAGACCAAACTGTACGGAGTGCATGCTATAAAGTTAACGTGATTGTCACTTATCGTCTTTAAATAGCTGCTAATCATGCTAACGTATTGATCATTCATACGTAATATTTTCTTCTTCTCAAACATACTATTATATAAGATATTATATAAACTTATTGTGTATATCTATCGTAGTACACACGTATACTCCGTGAATAGTTGCTAACCAGCACGGACACCCACTCGCAGACTCCAATGGATACTGATCAGACCGAGATCGACGAGTCTTTGTACTCTCGACAGCTATACGTGCTGGGCGAAGCGGCAATGAAGAAGATGAATGCTTCCAACGTTCTTATCTGCGGACTCAAGGGTCTGGGCGTGGAAATCGGTATGTTGCATGTAAAGAAGGCGCTATTGTTGAGAATGTGTACACTTAAAAAAGAATTTGCAAATGTGAATGCCTACAAGGAAGACTTAGTATATATAAATATGAATATTGTATATACACATACAAATCTTAGTTTATATGCGGCTAAAGATGAAATAGTAATTATGGATACAACGAACAGATTGTATATTTTAGAAAGTTCATTCATACTTCGAAACTGGCTGCATAAGTTTGAATGATATAACAGTACGTTGCCTGTCTTTATAAACGCACAGCGTCATATAAAAAAAATACTAGGGTATGTATTGTTCATCGATATAGGCAAGTTGATCTACATCTTACTTGTGTACAAACATCTATGCAAGTATATACCATTTTTTTTACACCAAACAGTCATATTTTGTATACGCACGTGTATATATACACCCCACACCCGGCCTCGCCGCCCCGGCCTCTCACCCCACAATAAAGTACATCTATGTTATGTGTATTTAGCGACCCCATAGATCTACATACATATATGCATTCATACACACACACATGGATATGTATTTGCGTACCACTGTACATAATATTTATATATATTAATACTAACATACATACATACATACATGAACATACGCACACGAACACACATACACACACACACACACACACACACACACACACACACACACACACA